CTGCACAGGTTAGAGGAGGACTGGTCAGGTGCTGTGATGGTTTATTGGGCTTTGCTGTGGGTGACCTGCACAGGTTAGAGGAGGACTGGTCAGGTATTTGGTTGCATGTCTCTCAGATGGATTTGGTGGATGTTTCCTCCTGATCACACTAGGCTTAAAAGTTAGGGAGGAGATGTATTTAAATTGACTTGAGTTTGACGCTATTCCAGTGGAGGGTCAGAAGCTTCTCTGGCATAGGAAAAGACTTTTGGCTTGAAGCAACACTGTCAACAGTAGACATCTCACCACTGGGAAGGTGTCACGGGTACAAAGAGAGTCTTCCCGGGAAGTCTGTTGTCCCCACAGGCTTAGCTAACCCCAGCATGCCACGGGTGCCATCTGCCTGTTCACTGTCTTAACTCCTTTCGTTCTGAAGTTTCTCAACCTAATCTCCTATGGATTTTTTCGAAGGGAAAAATATTTCCAGTCTTTTAATGGAGTTTAATTTGAAAACAATACTCATTTTATAAAAATTCCCTCATAGGCAACATTACTGAGCTGTATCAGATATCTGAAAACCCCATATTACCTTCAACGTCAGTGCATGAAAAGGAACATGGGATTTATGTGCTGAAAAGGACTCTTGTATCTCTGCCACTGACAAATATTTCTTTACTTAGAGAGGCGTCAAGTGAATAGACTCTCTTCCACACCAGCCACCTGGGATCCTATTTAAAAATAGAGTAAAACTACCATCCCTAGACCTAAACCACGCTGGGATAGGCTGATGCTACAACTCCAGAGAACCAAATTTGAATTGGAATCTTTGAAACTGGAGGAATCCTGAAATATTCCTCCCCGAAATTAACTACCTTATTTCATTTTCTACAAAAATTATGCTGTTAGTAAAAGGGGAAACAACTTTCACATATAGAAAAAATATAAAACTTACATGATACACACGCATATGTTGTGTCTGCAGTTTGGTTGTTACAGTCTAAGAAAGTGCCCTGATGGAAGTGTCTGTAGTTACTCGGTCCTTTTAAAATCCCACCGTGGTCTCATAATGATTCAGTCCTATGCAAATAGAACAGTAATGGCTCCTGTTTATTTAGAACCTATTTGTCTGTGCTTCACATACTTTATCTCATTTAATCCTGTCTGTTGTAGATACGCATGGTCCTCTTCCACCAGTGAGGAAATTGAGACTTAAAGAAGTTCAATAATTTGCCTGAGGAGACATAGATATTTCAGTATTTGAACTTGGCAGTGTCTGGGTCTAGCACTGAGTCTCACCTTCTAACTACTGGGTTAAAGTACCTTAGTGCTAAAATGTTTATTTTAAAATGCCTCTGTGAAAGGAAGGGCCATATCTTTTCTTAATTGTTGAAGTCTCACAATTAATTTATCTGCATGGCACATATTAAATAATATCTGAAAATAAGGAACAGGAAGATATGTTATTACTGCTGATTACCACCTTGAAGGTAAAACATCAAATAGTCTCATCCAAATTGACCCACAGAACAACAGTAAGATAAGAAGAGGACATTCAGTGGCCCTCAGTGTGGCTTGGATCTCCGTGTTCTAAAACAGACCAGTAATAGAAAATCTGTGGTCTGTCCAGGCCAACAGATCAGGAGATGACTGATATCAAAAAGATCATTTGCTACTCACAGTTCCCAAGACAAGGGGCCATGCCACACCCCAGGGGACCAGACAGCAGCACCAGGGTCAGCGGGCAGGCAGGGCAGAGGAACGGCTGTGGACAGGAGCCTTTACTGCGGACCCGGGGAGGAGTGGCAAGGCAGCACGAGCAGGGTGGGGCTGGCTAGTCTGGGTAATGTCAGTGGGCCCTGTGCTGTCGGAGCTCCATCTTTGCAAGGGGCGTATCCTATCCACATAGAAAATTTAGCATCCAGCAAGCACTGCAAAGCAGAATGGCAACTGTTCCTTTTTAAAAATTCATTTCTTTAGCAAGCTACATTCTATACTCTAGTGTATGTGTGTATGATACCCACAAACACACTCAGTTCCCCCGATGCACCATACCACATGTTCTCAAGAGCCTGCGTTTAAAGGATCCAAGTTGATATGGCCTTTGTTTATTTTCAAAAATGTACTAATACAAAATAGCAGTAGGCCTGCTTATTCCTTACTACCAGAAGCGGTATTTTTAAATCCAGCAGTACTGCTTGCTCCAGGAAACGTCTTCTTCATAGTCACGGCAAAATCAAACACCACATCATTTCAAGATTCAGTAAACACTTTATTCTCCTCATTTATGTCTCAAAACTGTTGAAAAGCCAAAGCCTGAAAAGGTCCCTCAGCAATAGATGTGAATATTTTATGAAAAAGAAGTTGCAAGAGGATGTGAGCGTCCAGAAACTGCTTCTGAGTGTTCTTCTTTGACGAAGTCCCCAAACTGGACTAAATTAGGCACAGTGCCGGTAGAAGTAGAAGAAGTAATCTGTGAAGAACATCCCAGCGAAGTAAGGGTCAGTGGAACAGTCAGCTAAGTCCTGCCAGAGAGGGAGAAAAAGAGAAAGATTAACCCAGAAATTAACTGTAGTTAAAGCGAGTGATTGATTGATCTGTTTCTTTTTGCTGAAAAGAAAAAGGGAAAAGCAAGCTTAGTGAGCTTACCGGAGCAGCTACCCGGAAATGGTAAGCGCTGTCAGAGAATCGGGCTACAGGCAGGCTCCAGATGTGCTGGTATCCCTAAATAATGGTGGGAAGAGAGGTGCATTTCACAACCACCTTCTACACTCACTGAGAGAGCGAATGGGCTCAGAAAACGTTTCCCCAGGAACTGCAGCAGAGGTAACTGGCAGCTGGATACTGTGTCGCTACAACTGAGAGCGCCTGCTGAGAATAAGATGGAGTCAGTCAGGCCAAGGCCATGTGACACAGCTGGTCTGGTCCCTGTGGGTCCTAGTGATGTTCACCTCCTGGCTCCCATTCTTATTGTTTTATAAATTTAGCTCCCAATCTAAAGGTTCCCATCTTGAGTAGTTTAGGAGGATTGATCTAGGAAACTGATTTTTGAATTGGAAATGTTTTTAAAGTCACTGAGTTGTGCTGATTATTATTTAAAATACGGGTTAATGTTGTCTTTGCTTTGAACCTTTATGTATAAAATTGTGATTTTGGAAATGGAAGAACAGAACAGACTTGGAGAGGCTACTCTCACTGTCCTCCAGAATCACTGGCCTTCTGACAGATCAAGTCTGGTGGACCTATCTCCTCTCTGCATATTGGCTGACAGTGACAGGCTGCCAGACCCTCTTCCATCGGTAACAGAACCATCTGCAGCTTCTTAAGTGCACAAGGAATACAGCTGAGGCCAGCCCTGTGACCAGGGCCCAACTGCAAGGGAAACGCTGGCGTTCGGCTCCTACATGCCTCTCTTGGTCGGGAAGAGGAACCAGGATTCCAAACACACCTTCTACTCGGATGATGAACCAGAAAATGTTACCTGTGTCGTCTCCTGGGAAACATGGCTTCCGATACCTCTGGCTTCCCCTTTACTGTAGAAGCAGATATTCCCAAGGGTGAACTTGCACTGGAAGATGATCAGCGGCTCTGTTGTGCTTCAGGAAACAAAGGAAAGAAAGGACACAGGGAAAATCAGTGGCCAGCTTCTGCCAGACCGCAGCAGGCATCGTATCCACAAAGCTCGCTGGTGCCAACAGGCCAGCACATATTTCATTATTACAGTAAGAAACCCAATCCCCGGTGACTTCTGAAATAGTGTATGATGGTTTCTAAAACCTAACCTCATGACTTAAACCAGCTCACTAATTAGAACTTCTTATTCCATAGGTTTTTGATAATTTTTAGATACATACCTTCTCTTTTACTGGCAGCTGAATTTACATTTATCTGAAGCTTCCTGCATTTTAGATTATGCAAACTGTCTAAGTAGATATTGTTTGAAACAACAAAGCAAATAAATGCAAGTAGGGGTTAGGGTGAATTCCATTAGAAATCACCAGCTTTGAACGCTGTCCAGGGTACAAGGCCTGGGGAGGATGCTGCTTTGTCTCTGGAGGTTGACTCCGTAATTATCACCAAGGGGTGAGGTCTGTCTGTCTTTGGAAACAATCCTTTTACACAAGTGGGACAGCCTATAATCTCACTTGAGAATTTGTGATAGTTTTAAATCACTCATATTAGATTAATGAATTGTAAACTAAAAGGCTGAATTTAGTGGCTTGTCCCCTGAGTGGGGTCTTTTGTCACCTCAGGGGAAGTAGATACAATCTTATTTCCTTCTAGTGAAAGCTGGGGCTGAGTAGGAGAGTGTTAATCCAGCTTACTCGGGGGGTGTTGGAGAATGATATATTCAGCTCGTATAAATGGTACACTTAGCCTTTGCTCAGCCTTGAAACATGGCAGGTTCTGAGTCGTAGCAGATTATTGAAACAACCTTTTCCAAGGCAAGAAGTTGGACTGAGTGTCACTGACTCCTCATAGAAACAAAATAGACAGGAAAAGGGGTAGGAAGCCTGAGGGAAACGGTGGGAGAGTCGGGGTTGGAGTGAGTGATGGCGAGGAATGACGGAGCCCAACAGCGGGAGGGGTGAACAGGGGACAGTAGAAAAGGGAAAGAGGCAGACAGGACGCTGAGACTAGAGGAGGAGGAGAGGGAAGAGCAGAAGACACAAGCCATCTGTCTTTATGGTGAAGAGCTCACTGCCTGATTTTATAGGGAAGTGAGTTGAGGGTCTCTAAGTACCACAGTCATTCAAAATACCTGCTAGGAATATGGCACATAGGGAGTGGTGATTTTGGAAGAAAGCATGTCACAATACACGTAGAGCTACCATACACCAGGTGCCTACTGTGTGTCAGTGTCCTTAAATACCTCTTCTCCCTGGTGAGGCAGGACTGTGACGGTTCAAGGCATGGGCTGCTCTACAGCCGAGTTCAACAACTTAGAAACGGTGATTTAAAAATGCATTTTTTGACATGTCCTGAAATCTAAATGCAAGTGTTCTCATGTGAAAAATATACTGGAAAAAAAATATCAACCTGCGAGGGCCACAGTGATGGTGGTGAGAATTATAAGGCCCAGTGTTACAGGGTACAGCAGGTGGCAGTGACCCTGCTGAGGATTATAGGGCCCAGTGTTAGAGTGTACATCAGGTGAATGTGATCCTGCTGAGGGTCATAAGGCCCAGTGTTAGAGTGTACAGCAGCTCACTGTGATCCTGCTGAGGGTCACAGGGCCCAGTTGTAGAGTGTACAGCAGGTGAATGTGATCCTGCTGAGGGTCATAGGGCCCAGTGTTAGAGTGTACAGCAGGTTATGTGATCTTGCTGAGGGTCACAGGGCCCAGTTTTAGAGTGTACATCAGGTGAATGTGATCCTGCTGAGGGTCACAGGGCCCAGTGTTAGAGTGTACATCAGGTGAATGTGATCCTGCTGAGGGTCACAGGGCCCAGTGTTAGAGTGTACAGCAGGTGAATGTGATCTTGCTGAGGGTCATAGGGCCCAGAGTTAGACTGCACACTGATCACTGTGATCCTGCTGAAGGTCATACAATCCATTGCTAGAGTATATAGTGGGTCACTGTCATCTCGCTGAGGGTCATAAGGCCCAGTGTCAGAGTGTAAAACAGGTCCCTGAGATAATGCTGAAGGTCATAGGGCCAGGTGTGAGAGTGTACAGCCGGTCACTATGATCCTGCTGAGGGTCATAGCATCCAGATGAGAGTGTACAGTGTGTCACTGTGATCCTACTGAGGGTCTTAGGCACAGTGTGAGTGTACAGCAGGTCACTATCATCCAGCTGAGGGTCATAGGGCCCAGTGTGAGAGTGTACAGCGGGTCACTGTGATCCTGCTGAGGGTCATATGGCCCAGTGTGAGAGTGTACAGCGGGTCACTGTGATCCTGCTGAGGGTCATATGGCCCAGTGTGAGAGTGTACAGCGGGTCACTGTGATCCTGGTGAGCATTAGAAGGCCCAGTGTTACAGTGTACAGGAGGTCACTGTGATCCTGCTGAGGGTCATAGTGCCCAGGTTTACTGTGAACAACAGGAGACTGTGATCCAATTGATGGTCATAGGGCCCAGTGTGAGA